TCATGGTTCAAAAAGAAGAGCTGTACCTTCAGGAGCAAAATCATCTTCATGAATGACAATGCACCATCTCATGCTGCAAGGAATACCACTGGATCACTGGCTGCTTTGGGCGTAAAAGTGGAGAAACTCATGGTGAGATCACCATCCTCCTCTGACCTCAACCCCACTGAGAAACTTTGGAGTTTCATCAACCAGAAGATCTGAGGATGGAACACAGTTCATATCAAGACAGCAGCTCTGAGAAGGTATTCTGACTTCCTGCAAAGAAATTCAAGCAGAAACTATCTACAAACTCATAAGTTCAATGGATGCAAGAATTATGCAGGTGATGTCAAAGAAAGGGTCCTATGTTAACATGTAACTGGGTCTGCAAAAAATGTTTTGGATTTAAATAGCTTTTGATTTTAGGACATGTGACCACTTCATGCTGCACATTCAAAGAATGACCGTTTGCAGTTCTTTATAATCTATAACATGTTTAGAAAATCCGTTGTGCATAATAATTTGGATCAGTGCATTTTGAGTTTTTTATTTTTGAAAAAAAAAACTTCTCATGGGAAGCTTTGTTCAGTAAAATTTGATTTATACTGTAACAGTTCATTACTTGAAAATTATACTGACCATCATTTGCACTGACCATTTAAGAAAATCTGAGAAAATATCACTTCCATAATAATTTGGAACACAGTGTAATTAGGACTTAAAACATTAAAAAAGTAAAACCAAAAAACAGAACCTTTGACGCCTTTTCTTTTTGTAATAAATCACAATGCACAGCAAAAACAAAGTATTCAGACCAGATCCTTCCTGCAAACAACCATTAGCATTTACAACAACTGTTTCATCATTTATTTGATTACTTTACTAATCCTTTCGGATTAATAAAGTATTTTTGAATTGAATCGACATGAACTGAATGTCCTGCTAAGATATTCTGTCCATTAGCAACAACTGGATCAGAGTCAAAAGCTCAGCTATCTAGCAAGCAAGTCCTTTTCTTGATCATTTAAATAGCTAAATCTAGACACAAGCATCTTAAATATGTTTTTACAACTCGATATTAAATGTTTTGGGGGTTTTTTCTTTGAAAAACGCCTCTAAGATGTGTTAAGAAGCTCAGCTTGTTGGCAATTTTGAAATTAGTATTAATAATGTCATTCCAGCTATTCTGGAAACAAACCCTAAATTATTGTTCCAACAAGCCTTATGACGGTTCTTCATTTTGTACTGGACCCTGCACTGAGCCAACTTCTCCAAATATATTCAAAACTAAATGTTTATGCAGGTTTTGTAACGAAAATGAAAGGTAACTGTTTAATTGCTATTGCACATTGCATGTACACACTAATATGCCTGTTTAAAGACAATTATTTTCATGGTTAATATTTAATTTCTTCTAAAATGTGTGTTTGTGTTATCCCCAAAATCAGCCTGACATTAAAATAAATATATAAAAATGATCCACTGCTATGTTTGTACTTTTAGTCCAGTGTGATTGAAAAGTGAACAGTGGGTTTGTCAGACGTGGGTGATGCCGACTGATTCAAATGCACACGCTTCCTCCTCCATAGATTAGACGATGAAGGTCTGAACAAATCAGGATTAGCTGCTGCTCCTCCACTAGTCAGGTTCTTATCATGTTCGTCATGACATTGCAAAGCCAGACAGCAGAACGGTGAGTGTGTCTGCTTTCCCTGCTGGCAGGGTGTGGTAGGGAAATGGTGGAGTCTCCTTGTGAGTGTGTGCGTTCTCGTGATATTCCAGACTTTTGGGGTCAGAGGTGACAGAGTGCAGACCGAGATACAGACACATTTGGTGGTGATGAGGACGGTGTGTCCTTCGTAACGCCACGAAAAAAAAAAAAGAGGTCCTTATTTATATTTTAGGGAATCTCTGTGATCCTGTCAATATTTTTACATTTCTGTCTCTTTACTTTGTAACTGAAATATCATGTTAATTTTGTCTCTCCTCTTCTTGTATTGCAGATTGAAGAGCCGCTGGAACATTTGACTCACAGATATGACCAACTAAGCATTGTTTTACATTTTAATATTTTTTCTTTCATTTTAAGCTTGCCATTTTACTTGGCAGTAACAGCTTAACTATTTGGTATATTAAAGTGTTTTCTCTTCAGTTCTGCTTTGAACAGTGTTTTAATGCTATCGAATTGATGTGTTGGTTAATACCTAATACATAAAAAATTAAGTTCAGCTGACTTTATGACAATGTGTAATTGTTTTAGATTGCATTATTTTTTGTACCGTCAGCTTCTACCGTTTAAGATGATATATTTGTTATGTTAAGAAGTAAAGGTACTCTCTCATTTCATTTAGCAATCTAATGAACAGAAATAAAATAATTAAAATATTTTTTTATGTCTGTTTAGGCTCTTGTTTAGGATGATGTGTTTCATTTGAATTGTTTTACAAATGTATTTGTGTTCCTAAATGGCCCTGGTTTGCGAATCTAAAATGTAATGTGTAGTAAATATTTATACATCATCTTTTGTCTCCAATTTTGGTATTTGCTTAGTATTTCTATTTTAGCTCTTATGACAAACATATAATAAAATTCATTCACTGCTCCTATTAATGTTTATTTTGTTCAAGTGGTTAATTTTAATCACTTTTAAAATCACTTTTCACTGATTTTAAAATTAATCAGTGCAAGAAAGAATAATTTATACAATATATTTAATTTAAAAAAAAAGAAGAAGAATAGCATTGTGTCATTATTTTAGAGGCCTGATGAAGTTGAATTAAGCTGCTGCTGAGATAATTAAAAGACAAATTTCTGGTTCAAACCCAAGTCAAAAATAATATGATCGGCTAGAAATAAAATCGTTCCCATTTAAAAAAAAAAAAAAAGAAAAGAACATCTAAAATAAGTTTCTCTTTTGTTTTTTTGCTGGGGGTTTTTTCTGGCTGTCAAATTTGGGGAATGTTTCAGGCCTGCAAAACTGCACTGGCCTTTACGGTATGTGTGCTTTTTCTTATTATTATTATTATTATTGAAGTTGCTTGTGATTCGAACAAGAGAGAAAAATAACAATTGCTTTTACTGCTGTACGTGTCAAAAAAAAAAATCTAACAATACATATTTTTAAAGGCATTATTGTACTTGGACCAGCAACAAAATAATTACTATGTGAGCTGAAAGATTTGAACCGTGCAAATAATACATTTATTTGTAGGCATTAATAAATTACCTTTGGTGTAGATAGGTCAACTTAATGCACTAAATTGTTTTTAAATATGTTCAGAGTGAGAATAAAAAAAAAAGAACAGTTTTAACATTTAACTTGAAGGATACCAAATGGAAATGAAAGCCATGTGTCCAGTGACGTTTTTATTGTGGGTGCAACCATCATCTGAATGAATGCAAATTGGCTTTGCCTCCATCCGGCATCATGCCAAGTATCTATAGCAACCACATCCTCCAACAGCCCCCATCCTTCTCTCGCTCCTTCAGTCTCTAATTAGCCTTCTGTCTGCCCTTTAGATGCTTTCTTATTGTTCTTTTTATTTCCCACATCAAGAAAAATGCACACAAGGAGTCTCGCTGTCCGTAAAGAGAGCAATGCAAATATAACTGCTGATTTAAAAAGAATACAAGCGTTCACGCTCCCATCAAATTTCAAAATGACTCTTTACGCAGAGAAAAAAAGAATGTAAATAAAAACCAAACCTCAGACATCGTAATAACAGATTTAAAATAATTAAATCAAATTAATCATCCATTTTCGTTTGCTTCACAGCGTCTGGATGCTTTTACGGCGAAGTTCAAAGCGTGAATGTGGCCTCGGTCAGATAAAGCTGAGTCTCTGCCTTCCGCTCCAAGAACTAGGCTCTTCCGCCCCCTACAGGCTTTTATGAGGCGCTGCAGCCCCGAGAAGGCCACGAATTAACGAGGGCGAAGCGCCCTCCAGTGGACAAGATATGTCCCTACATCTTGTCTGTCTGCAGACAAGATGTAGCAATACTAAAAATAAGGCTTTATTTACATAGCACACTTTTAGCTTTAATTCCATATTGCATTGCAAAAAAAAGTCTATTGACTAAATTAAAATAAACTAAGCTAGAAATAAACAAAAAGGTGAATTTCAAAACCAAGTAGCACAGATAGCAAATAAAGGTTCAAGGGCCATCGTGTTACATAGTGTAGTCCCTTCATGTCTGTCTAAAAAACATATATATATATATATATATATATATAAAATTTATCTTTTGTAATATTTTATTTTTCTGAGCCACTGAATTTTAGGTGGTGATATTTCTAAGTCATAACCTTGAAAATTACATGGAGAAAAATACTTGAAATATTTCACTGGGTGAGTTTTATATTATAAAGTGAGTGATAAAAAAATATTGAACCTTTTCACAATATTCTAAATTTCTTTAGATGTATCTGTGAAAAATCCTTTTGCCAATAGGACAGTTTATGCATTTCTCCTATAACATTTCATGAAATTGGACCCACATAATTTATACTTCAGACCAGACGAACCTCAATTACTGAAAAGCTCAATTTCAATCTCAACTAACCCAAAATCCTTATTCCACACAAAGTTGCGGTACAGTTAATCAAATTGCATGTTGACTAAAGGGCACTCTCTCCAACATGCCTTCAAAACATATGGTTGGCATGCAGATCAATCTGAAAGTTGCTACAAAGATTTGATGACTCCACTTTTTGGAAGTTTCCATTTCCTTTATTCTCCTGCTCCTTGATGGCAAAGCAAATAGTTTGAACAAATCCAATTTTAAATCGTACCTCTGACTTTGAGTCACATGAATCTTAAATACAAAAAGCAACTCACCTCTGCATCAACTGAATAACAGGTTCTCTTGAACAGCTAATTATTATTCCAGAATGTGTGGCATTCAGTTTTTCTCTTCAGGATTGGATCTTTTTTTTTGTCAGGAATGGCTCTAATTATGAGTGCTGCATTATACATGAATATATGAAACACACACAGGGAACAGATTAATATAAATCACTGCACCTTGAACATCCAGTTTTATTTGCAGAATCTGATATTTGAACATCCTCCCACAGATACACCGTCATCACGATAGATTAGACAGATGATGAGGCCATTTAGTAGCTATGTTACATTCAATTGGCACAAATCAAGGAGTTTAAAAAAACAGCTACAAACAAAGTAAACTCCACAATATCATCTGCCACAGAATACAACTGAAGCCTTTTTATTGAAATTAAAGTTACTTTTCTTTCTATTAAAGCTGTTGTCATCCAATTTTATCCGATTAACAAGCAAAACTTCCAACTTTTTTGGCATTTTTCTGATTGTCTTTCTGTTATATTACATTTTAGCAGACATTAAATGCAATTTTTTTATATGTCATTTTAAAATGAAGCTGTCCTTTAATATCAGCCCATAAAGTGTTGGAATGAACTGGGAATCTTATATCAGAACAATAAAACCTCAGACAAAAAATACTCTGCAAGGCAGTTAGTCTTACAAAATTCACATAGTAAATCTGGACCTGTACAGTAGTTAATACATTCAGTCACTGATATTAAAAGGTCTTTCAAACAGATGCTGTTTCTTAAACACTCAACACTTCAAAACCACGTGAAAATCACGACATAGGTTAGCAGAATCAGCTCAGTCATAGTAAAAACGAAGCTATTGCTGCGAGGCACTTGAGTGATAGAAATGAACCTTCATTCAGGCTGTAGTCACCGTGTTGTCTAAGCCCCATTCACTGGCTTAGACATCGCCATGGTTACAGACACAAAGCTGATCAAAGTTTGCCGCTGCAGAGTTGGATCGGAAATTGACATGAATGCAACTGGCAGTTTCTGGTTCCCAGTAGCTCGCAGGAGATGAGCTCAAAAGCTTCCCACTTAGAATTTTACTGAAACCTTGTGCTTTGTTCAGATGGGACCTAGAGTTTTGGCAAAAATAAAAACAACAGAGATTGTTGGGAAATAAAGGATGACTATGCAGGAAAGGAGCTCATAGCTGTTCGGTATGGTGGTGGATCTGTAATGCTGTGGGCGAGTTGCAGCCCTGGGAATCCCATTGGAGTGTATCAGAGTATATTTACCCTAAGAGGATTTAACTGGGATTCCCCCCCGCATGAATAAATGTGCTCAGTTGTTTCACTTTCACATACAATAAAAGAAAAAACTAGTCCAAACACTTTTTTACACATATTTATGAGAGCTGCAAATAATTTTGGAGGACATAAGAACAAAATGCATCAAGCAAACATTAAATCATGTTGTTCAGGTCCATAAGGGTACAAAATATAAATCATATCCTGCATATCTGCTCTCCAGTCTATCTGGACCTGCACTCTGCTCCACTTGGCTGTGCATGAGCAGCTCAACCATCCTGCCTTGGTATGTCAGTCCTAAGTATAGAAACCACTGGCACTCTTCAGTGACAGTCAGCTTAGATCAATAATGTCCCAGTGTTAAGCTGCTGAACTGAAAGCTAAATGAGCAATTTGGCTGTAGAAAGAGTTGTTTGCTTGACACCAACTCACAAGGTGTTATAATTAGATAAAGACAACACTGAGAACACAACAAAAAGTACAACAAAACAGCTCAAAATCACATATCAGGTAGGTCTTTGCATATTTCCAGTCAGCTCTACACCTTTAATCCTCCCCAAAAAGGAGATTTCAAAGTTGTTTCAATGACCTTTCACAGCCACAGCAATCATCTTTTCTCTTCTAAAATTATGCATAGAAACACACCAAGAAGCTATCTGTACTGACAGCAAACGGAAGACATCACCTGTATACGGATAAGGAGGGTCATTAAAATGCCTCGGTCTTGGACATCTTCAATCCTCAACATTAGTTACAGACAAATTAGCATGTTGCTCTAGCGCCAGCAGCAACAGGACTATAAACCTAACAACGGTGACACTCACTCTGTAGGGGGGGTTTTACTGGATTATATCAGGAAGTGTTTGATTAAAAGATCAGAATGATTCATTCCTCAACAACCACATGCCAGGGGGCACAAAATCTGCACTTTTTTTATTTTATTTTTTAAAAGCTAACATGTTTACACTGAAATCAACATAGATAACATGGACACTTAATACTCAACTGTCTTGGCACTGTGATAAAACAGCTTGTGTGCTATTTAATTACTTGTGGGTGAAGTTGAATTCAACTTTTGATCAAATTGCTGTGGCTAATGCCATGAAATGCAGTGGTGGGGAAAAACTCAACTCTTTTTTTAAACATGCAAACATATAATCTGCAACAAACTCAGATTATTACCTTTGGTTTAACAGCTTAAACTCAATGTGAGACCTCCATGTCCGCACCTCTGAACTTTCACAGAAATCCTCTCCACAGGGCTGGAGCATTACAATTTATAAGCACGCAATAAAGTGATCATATTGCACTTGACAACAGGTTGTAGTTGCTACGTTCACCTCACGTTTCAACCTCGGGAACCTGTTAGTCTTTGTGCGTTTGTTTCTTTCCACTGATAAACATTCTCTCGGTTTCCTGTTCTGTTTCACGTCCAGCAGCTCATGGGATCAGGTCACTCCGCTCTCAGCGGCGTCCTTTCTGGGTCTGTGGTGCTCCTGGGTTTATCCCTTATGATACAGCTTCCTCAAGAGGATCTGTGTAAGGTCGAAGGTGGTGAAGCTGATCCCCACTGCTACAGGTCCTTTGACCCAGTTCATGCTGAGACCTTTGTACAGGCCTCGGATAACCCCCTCCTCGGACACGATTTCTTTCATGGTACCCAGGATGGTGCCGTACGTGTGACCTGTGACCCCTGCGGTCTGCATACGCCGCCTCACCACATCCAGAGGGTAGGAAGCCGACTGGCCGATCAGGCCGGCGCAGGCTCCAAAAGTCAGACGCTCGTAGGAGTATGGCTGCAAGCGTCCGCTGTGCTCTGCATGAGACAGGAAGTTAAAAGGCGGGAGCACACTGCAAAAGTATTTACACCCCGTGAACTTTTCCACATCTCTAGTTGCACTATTATCAATGTATTTTATTGGGATTTTATTTGATAGACCGACACAAAATTGTGCAATTATAGCAAAAGATTTCAGTCGAAAAATGTTTTATAATAAAAAAATTATTTAATAGAGTTATTGTGTGCTGCTTAGTGAATACATCACAATTCTTAATGTAACCTGTTTGTAATTTTATGATGATTATTTTAGAAGCAGTATTTGTGAGGCTTTGAAAAATATTTTTTATCAACAATTTTACTGCAATCCCAATAAGGACCACAAGATATCATGACAAAATCTTAAGTAAATATCAACCACTCCTTCTTCCTTCCAGTTCACTATTACTTATCACCTTGTGTTGATTTATCTATCACATACATTTCCCAAAGAAATACATTGAACTTTGTTGTTACAATATAACATGTTAAAAAAGTTCCAAAGGAAAGAAATTAGCTTTAAATAATTTGTTTTATGCAAGAAATTAAATGAAAGCATTTAATACCTGCATGCAACTTTTTAAGCGTTTCATAAGTAAAGAAGCTGAGACCAGCATAGGGTACGACACCAAGGATAGTTGGAGTGAAACCTCGATATAACGTCTTCAAGCCCTCTTCTCGAGAGATTCGCACAAAAACATGTAAAATGTTGCTGTACCTAAACAGAGGAGGAAAAAAAAACTTAAAACATGTTTTTTATTTGTTGCTGGCAGAGTAAAATTGATCAAAAACAAGGATCAAAGCAGCATGTGTTGCTGAGTTCAGGTCTCTGCCACATGGCTGCTGGCTGAAGGGCAGCGGAGTCTTGGCTAAGCAGGTGACATCACTAAGACAAACAGCAAGCAGCAACATCTCACTCAGTGTCCTTCAAATATGGCTGATCTGAAATACCTACTCAGCTTTACATCGAGTGTAGCATATGCCTAATGAATCATTCATTTAATTTAATTAGGTGTGTTTAACCAGGGAATCCTCCCTTGAGGTCTGACATTGTACACTGACAATTAAATTGCTGAAACATTATTCAGTTCCACAAATTGTGTAATTGTACAGCATTCCTTGCTCTTACTTGTCCAGTTCATTTATTCTGCTTGTACCATAGAACTCAGATTGCCTCAGAGTGAAGTGTGAACTGACTTCTAATTACTATAATTAATTATTTCTGAAGATGAATGACTATGTCCAGGTTTCTGCCATGTTGCTGCATATTTAATCCTATTTGTGCTAAAGTGGCTGTACATACTGGTCCAGCAGCTACTAAAAAAAAAATCTTGTGAAGCTTACTGAAGAACATTTAAGAAGAATATACATAAACTATGAAAAATGGCCTTACATTTCCTTGGGAGTGACAGCCATTCTGGCCCTCACCATGTCCAGAGGATAGGTCAGCATGGTTGCTGTGATCCCAGCCATAGATCCAGCCACCAACCTGGGGATCGGAGGGAGGGCCCTGGAACAACGAGACGATGGCACCAATTCGTCATGAACAACAAACTTCACCAACAAGCTGATCAAAATAAAATACACCTACTTCCCCTGGAAGCCACAATATCCCCCCAGCAGCCTTTTGTACTGTTCATGTGCACAGAACTGGATAGCAGCGTACGGGATGACTCGCACCATCGTCGCAGAGTTCCCCCTCCACAAACTGAGGAAACCATCTTTCAGGTAGGTGCGGTAGATCAGCTTATAAGCTTCCTGTAGCATAGTGTTTACAAAATAAATCATTAGTAATAGTTAATATTAGATATTTATTTTACCTTTGTAGCTTTCTATGCCAAAGGTTTAAATCAGATTTTTATATCCAGACCAAAATGTGATAAATTAAATTTTTTGGTTCGAGTAATTTCAAATATTTAATGAACATACCTTGGCAGAGAATCTTGCTGAGGACACTGGAAGAAAACCACAAAGATGAAGAAAATATGACTAATCTCCATACATCATTCCTCATTCATCCAATTTTTTTGAAGGAAAATAAATAAGGTCTTATACCAAGTTAAACTTATTTCCAGCTCAGTAGCGCATGTCCCTTACCTTGGAAGATAATTTTAGTTCTGTCCAACGGGGCCACGGCGGTCTTGGCCACAGCTCCGGCTAAAGCCCCAGAGAAAAGCGAATTGAGGACTGATCGACTGCGCTTGATGTCCTGCATAGCCATGGAGAAATCCTGTTATTCTAAACAATGTCCGTACAGGAACACAGGCGTGTTTGAAATACTGTTTACCATCAAACCAGAGATGGTGGATAAACGCAAATCATCCCATAAACGTTGAATGTTAAATTAGTCAAACTTAGCATGAAAAAGAGTGAAAATCAGATAGTTGATTTGAGATTTAGTGAGATGGATTGCAGGCAGTAGTGTATTAATCCTACAATAATTATTTATTGTAGGATTGATATCCTACAATAAATTATCAAATAAAATATTAGCCTTGTAATACTTGTTCCCTTTTACTTCAAACATTTTATCTTCCAGCGAAGATCAAATGTTTACAGGCAAGAATATGCAGTATTGGCTGGTGATTTGACGTCACTGCATCTCTAATTACAAATTTCTTTATAATGACTTGCTTTAATTATAAATGCATACTAAACTGTTTTATCCTTTTTTATCAGTTTAGGTTTCTTATTATTGGAAAATATAAACGTGATGTAGAACAATGCAAAAGCTTGCGTACTAAAAATAACAGATCATTAACTTCATCAATCGCTTTAAGTCTAATGGACAACTCAAATAGCATGAATTATGTTTTTTTTCCTTTTCAAGATAAGTGAATGCATAGATCTTCATAAAAAGGGGACGTCACCTCATGGCTTGCTTCCGACTGGCTGGAGGAAGTGGTTGGCGGCACCTCTCCTTTCATCAGCGGGGTCAGCCGTTTCTGGACTCCACTTCCCATCCCCACAGATTCACCAAGAACTCATGCATTCAACTCACAAGGAGGGAGGGGGTGCAAGTCCCACAGAAAGGTGAGAGCTGCAAGAGGTCAGCAGAAAGAAAAGACAGTTCAGTTTCAGGTTGGACTAAATATAAAACAAGCATAGGGTCATGACTAAATGGATTCTCTTGCTATCATGGAAAAGCATCAGGATCAAGTCACAAAGCATGACTTTGCTCCCATGCAAACACTGTTTACAAACCTGAGTTTGCCTTAAGAACAGCTACATTATGTGAACACAGATCTATTCTGCTTAGGACACTATAAGCAAGAAGAATCAGAGAAGTCAAAATGTTGTGTCAGATGACAGCCAAAAAAAACCCTCCACATGTTAAGCTGTAGTAAAGAAAACAGGCCCTTGAAGGACACAGCTGAGGACTTCCAGCTGTAAGTAGGTGAAAGGTGTCCGTTTGTTGTGTTTTTCAGCCCACTCCAGTGAAAAGACCCCAGATCTCAGCTTTACAACATGTCCTCTACTATCAGGACAATCGAATCTGAAAACACTTGACTGAGATCAAGTTTCAGTGACGAACCTTTGGGATGCCATTACTTTTGGAAACAAGGGGACTTGCCTCCTTTCCCATGAGCTAATCATTTCACCACACAAGTTGGCCATTCATGCAACCTTTAACCCTTTTAGTGACTGTTGAACATTGGGTCAGCTTCACAACTTTCAATCACATGCGTAAGCCTGAGAGTGTTTGTTTGTACAGTTTAAAATAAGGTGTACAAAAAGACATTAGTCAGACATTAAAATCAATTAAATTGCCAGAATATCAACAAGGGGTATTTTTGATTTTTTTTTTATCCAAATATTTTGAGAAATTTTTATAGTATTTGTTAGAATTGTCCTTCAAGACTGTATGACTTGGGTGTAATGTTTTGAGTAATCTTTTTATAGTTTAGGTGATTTATTGCAAATAGTTTTTTGTGATGTCATTTAAGGAAGCAGTGTGTTTAAGGTGTGCCTCAAAAAACAAAAAAAACAGCTTAAGCTACACATCATACTTGTGTAGCTTAAGATACACAAGTATGATGTGTAGCTTAAGGAATGCCCTCAACTGGGCATTCCAAAGTTTTTAAAGGCGTAGTAATCTTACTTTTGTTAAGTGCTAAATTTGAGGAAAGTAAAACAATCTCAGGTCTCATTAATTACGTTTAGAAATTATTCACGTAATCCTAACTCAACCTAAATAGAAAAAGCTCAGAGAATTTATTAAACCAAGAGGGAACAATTTTTTTTGTTTGAAATCTGTCTTTCAGTGTAAATCTGTGCTGACATGTACGTTTATTTTCAAAGATTCCTGCATTTCATAAAAATTGTATTCGATTTTGCATGCATTAATAAAATTATTTGAACAGATTCTAAATTTTCCAGTAAGACCTTTTGACAACTAATTCATTAATTTACACAATAAATTGTGATGGCGATTTTTAAAAAAAGCATGGTAGAACAGATAAAAATCTCTCACTAGCTCAGTACTCTTTGTCCCAGCTAGCATTTAGCTGTGTCTCATTACCAAAGCCCTGAAGAACAATAGCTTCCTTTGTTTTGTGTCAAAAGGGAACAAAAGCAGCATAGTGAGGGTTAGCCAGAAAGACATTGAGATAAAAACCTCTGTGTTGCTGTGAGACCTGAGAGGAACCACAAACTGAAGTCACTTTCAACAAGGACAGGGTTCATCTGCAAAAAGCAGTGCTTCAGATCAGCTCAATATACAAATGATAAGTGATTCAGAACAATTAAATCAAACCCAAACTTCAAAAAATGTTATTTTGGTAGATTGCTGACTTCTCTGTTTAAATTCCCTGGACGCTGAAAACTTTTAAATATTAAAACGGACCATTTTGCAGAAATGAAGCAGAACGACAAAGAGGACAGAAGCAGTAATGAAACATGAGCAAAAACAGCGAGTCTCCTGGAAATTTGTGTAGTTGGAGGTACCAACGCTGGCCTCAGCAGGCCAGCTTTAAGAGAACAGACTCTCAGATGAACACATCAGAGAATCAGGAGAGGCCTTTGTTTCACCTTCTCTCCAATTCTTCCTTCTTCCTTATGCTTGTGAATTTTCTCCTCTCTTGACTCATACTCCTGCCTAAATAATGAAGTCTTCCTCATATTTTAGCCAACTTTCTGGTTGAACTGGGCCACCTCATGTCTGCTGATAAGACAATCACTAAGATTTAAGAAAAACATGGATTAAGAATGCAAAAACAGACTCATTAGTTAAGACAAGCAGAGAAAATATTTCCACAACACCATTACGGTACGGTTTAAAAGTACTTTAATGAAATGTCAGAGTCAAACAAAAACTAAGTTAACCCTACCTCACCCTCACTTGTTGCTGCAAACTGCTGCTCAGCTGGCTGAAAGGAGGCACCTACATTTTTCCCACATAAATTGTATTACTTAGGAGAAATAATTGAAGCTTATCTGATGAAACAAACAAACTTTGTCCACCGAAACATTTTTTTTTTTTACTTTAAATATATTAAAATGTTGTGGTATTTGCTCAGGACAGTCTTATAAGCACAACTCATCCCTCAAACCGGTATTCCCCAACCCTGGTCCTCAAGGCACGCTGTCCTGCATGGTTTTTAGGCGTTTCCCTGTTCGAGCACACCTGATTTCATTTGATGGCTTTGATGGAGCTGCAGTCATCTCAATCTGGCGTGTTAAAGAGGAGCAACATATAAAACATTGGGCTCTTTTTATACTTATTACTCAATACTCTGTATTGTGACTGTTCATATTACTCAGCCAGGCAGTGACGACATTTATAAAGTTAATTGCTGAAATAATGTACGTGTCTAGCTCTGCTTGCTGCCCCAGCCTTATTGAAACTTGTCCACAAACAAACTCAGTGAATATTTGCATCCAGCTGGATGAAGCAATCTAGAAAATAAATAAATAAACACCCGGTATCTTACCTCGAAGCTCACACCAGCTCGAATGGTTCTTAAGGTTTGATATCCCACTCTTGATATTTAATTTCTTCAGCGGATGTTTAACCAACTGGTACCAGGTTAAGTAACGTAAGCTAGCTGTTAGCTCCTCCCGCTACACTACCGTCCACACTACTCTGCTCTACAGCGCAGCGCAGTCATAAACCATGGAGGAATGCTAACAGAAGTTATACCCGGACTTCAAAGGCACTATTTTTCTGTACAGCTTAAAGCGCCAGCCGCCCGGCAGTGACTTCATGTGACAGACATCATCCACGCTCTTGTATCTCCACCGTTACCACTCCTGTCAGCCACCCGAGGCAGGGTTGACAAGGACGAGCAGCGTGGCATTGTGGGAAATGGAGTGAAAACGAGACGACGCGAGCTTGGATAGGTGGAACAGAGGGGCGTGAACGACAGCCTTAAAAATAAGATGCTTTCCCTGTGTGTTTCATTTTTTTTTTCCCATGGTTGCTGTAATGTTTACAGTTCACTGACGTTTTTTTCTTCTATTTTTGTGGAAAATTATTCTGCTGTGAATAAATTTAGATTGTTGAGAAAAGATTATGATCATGAAGTTACTTTTAACAGCCTTCAGTTATTTAGTCATGCTAAATAACTGGCTATTTAGTTAATAATACCTAATAGAACCGGGGTAAATAAATTACACAAATGTATATATATATTTTAAAAAAACTTTTCTGTGCTAAATAAAAATAAAAAATAAAAAAAAAACAACGTTGCAAACTAATGTTCAGGAAAATAATCTGTCAATCGATCTCTGTTAATCCTTTTGAGGTTGAGATTATTCTTGTAGATTTCTGATTTTATGTTTACCAATAAATCATAATACAGAGTAATGTCTTAGCCAGGAAGTGTTAAAACCTACACATTTTTATCACACTTTCAGATACTATTTTTTGGAAAAATTAAGTCTTCTGGGTTTTTTTTTTTCCATTATTATTTTTTAGCTAAAAATACCTCCATATTTGCAATAATCTTCAAAAACATTAAGTTTCTTGTTGATGGTATTAATCATATTTACTTAGAAATGCACTGATAAAAATTTTGTGGCCAATCTTTGATTTACTTTTTTTTCTAAACTTTGACATAACTAATTTAGTGGCAGCCAGTTCTGAATAATATGCTCCATTCTGGTAGCTTGATTAAACTTTTCAAAGAATACATTTTAGTGTTTATGACTCAATTGGAATCTGTTATATATTTCTCTCTTATACGTGTAACACAAAAGGATGATGTTGCCTATTTTCAGCTGTCATGAGGCGAGAGGTGAGGTACAAAATAACCAAATAAAACCAGTTTGTTGGATTTGTTTACTTTTTTATTCAGGGTCAATTCAGAACTTCAGTAGTGCCTGTTTTATGAATATAAATGTGACATTGTGGGAAAGACCGCGTTCACTTTCACAAAGACTACGAACGTTGACATATTCAGTCATATTGAATATGCCTATATGAATGCAAATTAGAAGAGTAAACAAAATTTAATAATATAAAGATGCTTGATGGTAAATGGAGAATAAAAATAAAACTAAAAAAGAAAATTAGCAGTGCCAGACACAATTGTTTTTGAGGCTCAGCCAATATGAGATAAATTATTACAATACTGAACAGAAAGAACAAAAATTTACACCTAACAAACATTAAAAATAGTTAAATAAAAAAGTTGTACAAAATTCTATTTGCATTGTATTTCACATGTTTGCAATGCTGTATCATTCTTTTTTTATTTTTTGGAATATTGACTTTTGGGTTTTACCAGAGTACATTAACTGTGTACTAACATTTACATTGAAACCAGATGGGTGTATTTGTATTAATCATTGTCCATGAACACAGTGTAGCAACCTTACAGCATTCTTTGAAGATATTAAAGCTGTAATATGACCATTGTTGTTTTATTCCACTCTTAGTTGGTAATGCTGCCATGTTTCCCAGTCCACAGCTCTCGAAGCTCCACTTTGCATCCCAGATCTCTGAGAGCAGCTTTACCGATGTCTCCGCAGTCTCTGTGCGTTTCCACAGCCTGACATATAAGACCTTCTGCTCCCAGCTCCAGGATTTGTTGGCAGTAGCTGCGCATTCTTGCAACAAGATTTCTTATCAGCATGCATGCTTGTTTCTGTTTAATAAAAGGGAGAAAAGTTCAGACATAAAGAGCTGGCAATCTTTAAGAGCTAGTTTTAGTCATCTCCTGTTACCTGTACATTCATAGAACCCGGATGGATCTTCATGGCCTGCACAGCAGCTATGACACCTCCGTTCTCCACGATGACTTTACAGTTGTTGGGTTTTCGCAGGGCAAGAACCGAGAGGCATGCACAGGCCTGCTCACAGACCTGCCGGAGAGCATGGACACAGTCCAGCATCGTCATTTGTTTGTCTCCAAAAATGTCAACAGGTTGGGATGTGGATACTTTCACAAGGTACTGCACAAGACATTTAAAGTTTAAGCCAGAGAAGTAATATTCATGTAGAACTCACAGCAGGGTTGTTGATATGTCGGTTCATGGCAATAACAATAAGGTCAACCCCACCAGCATTAACAACTGCGTCCTTCACATCATCATTTCCTGCTATTGCCCGTATGGCACTGAGGACCTGCCGGACCAACTCCTGCAAGAGCAATAAACAATTCAAAAAAGAAGAAGAAGAAGAAGAAGAAAAGAAAACACATCTGTTAGTTTTTTCTGTGTACGCTACCGGTGATTCATAGCTGTCCGCAAGTAAAGTCATCATGAATTTTAACCCTCCCAGATCACAGATGTCTTGACAAAACTCGTTCCTGACAGCCAGTCGGGATAAAGTGGCACACAGTTCACTCAGAGCAGAAGTGTTGCTAAGATGAGCTGTGAAGCAGATACACACAAAATAAAACTTCTTACAGCAATGAAATGTACTTTATTTATAGACCAAAAACTTGATCAGATGGCCTCACCTTTTGCAGCCCCAATTAAAATCTTCAGTCCATTGTGCTCTAGAACAATACTCTTGGCGTGTTCGTGAGCGTGTCCAAAAGTAGCCCGGAGATCGTCATCAAATGTCATGACCCGAAGGGCCCAGGCTGCCTCTTTGACAAGCACAGCGCAGTCACTGTGTCGTGTTATGGCACCAGTAAGCAGCGGCAGAATTCCGCCTTTTACCAGATCCTGTCTGTTCTGCTCATGCTTTATGCAGCAGTGACGCACCACACAGATGGCAACACATGTCACAGATGAATCTGCCTGGTGCTTCTCAAGAACATCGACAAGAAACTGCCGTCCCTCTTTGTCCAACAGGTCTGGCTGTCCGTCTGTCAGCGCAGCCAGAGCAGACAGCCCAGCCAAGGTGTAATCACGCTCCTCCATGCACTTTTTGCAGTAGGAGAGAATGACTGGGTACGCGCCTTTCTGAGCAGCCAGGTACCTCTGTGCAAATCCAAGTGAGCACTGCTCAGTGAAGCATTTTATGTCTGCTGTCGCATCAGGCAGAGCGGCGGTGTTGTTTCTAATCCGGAGAGATTCCAAAGCCTGCGATCAGGACAAGACGTGAACACAGTCAAAATTACAGGTTATGTACCAAACAAATGTTTTTATCAGTTGGATCAAGACTCACCTGTAGGACCTCGTGAGTTTGCTCTTCTTGATTGTCATCAGATGATGCAGCAGGAACAACTTTCACGATGCAAGTGAGATCCACACCTGCATCAGCAAATAAACCTGTTATCCGCCATATTCCCCTCTTAAGATGATCTAAGTTCTAAAACAATTTGCAAACAGATTTCTGTTTGTATTCCATCTTTGAGTGTTTCACCTATATTTTACCTTGTCATTTTTTAAACTATGTTCAGTATTTGTTGATGTTCATTTTCAATGTTGTTGCTTTTGCTTTAGACAACTGTTGCACCTTTTCATATGTGATCTGCACATAATTAGAATTGGTATAGATTTGAATATTTTCTCGGTCTTATTGTGTTGAGCTAAAATATATACAAACAGAAGACGGAGGTTTCATTCATGTGTAACAACCAAACTGAAATTTTAAAGTATCAATTAGAGCTGCAGATTGCTGGGATATCATCGTTGAATGATTGCTGGAATTTGTCAACCCAACTTTGCCCCAGGTTTCTCCTTCATCTCCACCATCACAAGGTTCCCATCACTCTCAGTAAACTTTAACATCTCTTAAACATATATTTTAAGAAACTGGTTTTTGGCTATTCTTAATGCACCTGGCCAAAAACCCACTAACTTTCTTTTTAAAGTTAGCGCTGCAGCTTGTATTTAGATGCGCTCAATAGTTACGGTATCTTGATGCTATGCCATTCAGTAATTTAAAAACAAACAAAAAATCTTTTAAAGTAAATTCTCTGGAGTCAGTGTAAGAAATTTAATATTTTTTTTCTATGCTATTCAGAATATGGTATCCAAACAGTACTTTCCACATAGTAATACTGTGATTATGACTGTTTTTCAACATAATAATGCTCAAGTTCAAATATCAAATTTCAGAATGGATAGAGGATGGTTGGATGAATAGATGGATTCCATGAGATAGAATCACTAATTTTTCTATATTTACATAGATCTGTAAAACACTGCAGAGATCATCGTAATGTTTTTATGTCCAGTGACACAAATACAAGTACAAATAATATTTTAAATAGCCACATGTTGTTGTGGCTTTGCTTCTTGATTTCAGTGCGTATTTCTTTAGTTATTTCACCTTGAGACTCAAACTGCTCCACGGCTTCCCTCAGAGCCTCATCTGCATCCATCTCAAACTCCTCAATGTTTTCCCGGACAGCAGCATCAAATGTTTCTTGGGTGATGCGTCGCTTCGACATTTCTTCGCACTGTTACTTCCCCACCCTGAAATAAAACACGAACATGGCGGTGTTAAAAGATGACCACTCTTCAATGCTAGCCAAGCCCCACTCTGGACAACGATGAATGACGCTCGTTATTGCTAGCTAAAGGATGGCTCGTTTTATTTCTCCTTTCCACTGTGTAAGCAGCAGTAGACCTGCAGTTAAATAAAATCCTTATCGTTTAGTATAAAACTCTAATCTAAAATAGTAACCTAGAAAAACATATGTGGAAAACAGCAGTTACCTCTATGTAGTAACAGACAACCGGCTTCGCTGTGTGTACGAAAGTAGCGCAGCTGGAAACACAGTTAGCGGGCATTGGTACACAACTGGGTTTTGTGAATAGCAAAACCCGCCCAACTTTGTGCACGCAGATATTTTGTCCGTTAAAACAAAGACTGCAGACATTCGTTCCTGCTAGCGGTTATAAATAAATAAACAAATAACAGTTTTTAATGCCACTGTATGAGCCTACTTGAGCCCGGACTTAACTGTATTTAATGGGGGGTTTTCACTATTTGTCCTATCTTTGTAGGTTTGCAGAGGTAGTCAATGAAAAAGGAGGCAAATGGAACAACAGTGGAAAATTGGCACATAAACTTCACTCAGAAGTAATGTCTGAGAGAGTTTGCCAGTTGGTGCAACAAATTACTCTGCAGGTACTTCTGCACTCTTGTCCCTTTTAACATCTATGCTTAAAATAAAGCTGTTATTGGATTCATTTTGTATTTTCTATCATCTAAAACATTTTCTAAATCAAAAGCGCTACCAAAAATCCTTTCTGTCAAATCTACAGCTTTTTGGTGCACCAGGTCATATTTGTCAAACTTTCACAATTTCTGAAAATTAGGAAGGTCAATAGAGAAACATGATGTGTGCTTTCTATGAAAGACCGGCAAACGTAAGAGAGATGTACTACATGTAGCACGCTGAACATTGACAAAGAATGTTGGCTTACATTTGAAGAATAGGAAAACCTCTTCCTGTCACATGATTTGTTGGCAAATCATGTTATGATCTGTTAACATCAAAAGTGTTAACAAATTATATAGATCTGCTTGCTTTTACTCAAATCTTGGGATAATGTTTTGAGGTTCCAGATCATCCATCTGGAGTCCATTGTCATGTGCCAACTCGTCAAGGCACAAGTCCATTTAAGCAGTGAGTCATAAGCTGTAGAGATCATCAGACTGTTGTTGAAAAAAGAAAACACTTTTAGTCTATTACAGCGCATCTGGAAAGTATTCACAGTGCTTCTTTGTTTCCACATTTTATTGCTTTACAGCCTCGTTCCAAATTGTGTTTGATTAATCTTATTCCTTAAAAAGGTTATACACAAATAACCTATTGGGACAGGAAAAATTTTTTTTGCCAGTTTTGCAAATATATTAAAAATAGAAAACTATTATTCACTCGTTTGCTATGAAGTTCAAATCTGAGCTGTTTCCACTGATCATCTTTTAAATTGAATCCACCTGTGGTAAATTCAGTTGACTTGACTAGATTTGGAAAAAAGAAATGTGGAAAAAGTGAAACATTTTGAAGACTTTCTGGATGCATTGTGAATGCTCTCTGAGTTGTGACGGTTTGTAACCCAAGTTCTCATTTACTAGCTTCACATGCTGCTGGGTAGCTTGCATGAGAAGAGCATACTGAAACATTTCTTTATTTGTCTCGTATTGTTTTCAACTCTTTTGCAGGAGCTACAACATATTAACAAATATATAATATTTTTCTTCCTCGTGGCCTCTGGTGCTAAAGCACAGGCAAACAGCTCCTTTACGTTTCAATTTCTCTTGTTCATCCTAGGTGTCAGACTTAAATTAATTTGAACTCATGGATTTATCTAGATTTGGAGAACAACTCGATATAACAAATTCTCCTGTTGTTGGTGCATCTCACTGGGAATACCAAAATGTGACAATTGTAAATTTTACAAAACAGATTAATCTGATCCATGTCTGTGTACATTTCTCACAAAGGTTGTCACATTAAAGCCACAAACGTCTTGTTTTAGAGAGGGTGGAGGGAATTTGGTTTTATTCCAACATTGAGTTTCTTAAGTTCACTTTTTGTAAATTTCAAGATGAAATTATTTAGATCCACGTAATAAAGCAAGGCTTTTGTTTAGCAGTTTGGAGATATCTGTTGCAGAGGATCTAAACATATTTTCCCATCTGCTCCAGTTTTGCTTCCTCCATCTTACTTATTCTGCGAAACCACAGGGTGTGTCTGCTGATCACTACATACCTTATCCATCAAAACATGCAAACAGTTGCACAGCAATCGTAGAGCAGCAGATGGGATCATAACTGCACTTGTTGCTCTGCATGAAGGCATGAGAGAAAGTAATCACATGGCAACACCAAGATCTCAGATATGTAGAGTTCTGGTGTTTAATTTTGGGAAATCAGTAGAAAGCAGGCTGAATGCAAATACATTTAACACACTTTTTAGATGTTTATTTGAAAATAAAAACTTGAAAATGACTCTTTTTACTGGTCGAACAAATAAAATTACAATAAATCACATTGAAATGTTTGATTATGATGTGACAAAATTGTGAATATTTATTTGGGTATAAACATATTAGTATTGTTTCAAAATAATAACTTGGTCTCACATGTTATTATAATTCAGCTGAGGATATATTAACCAATTTTAGTACTTACCTGGCTATTTTTAATCCACTGCATCAATTCGTTTTGAAGATTTTACAATTAAATTGGGAATATTTCTACTATAGTCAATAAATTATGTTTTGGGGTTTGTGGCCAGTTGTAATTGCAAACCAGACTGAGCATTATATTAAAGCAGACAGATGCTAGCGTTATGTTATCAGAGACAAGGGACCGTATAATGACACTTTACCTTTTCAAAGAATTAAGATGCTCATATTTTGCAATCAAAGACATTACATGTTATGTTTTACTTGTACTCCCTACTTACACGAGTTTCAAAGAATCACGACAAAAAAGATCCCACAGAATAAATGTGCAGCGACTGCAGCATTCAGGCTTCTTGAGCATAGATCCTGCTCATTTGAATTCAACACTGGTCTTTTATATCATGACTTGTTGCATCCCAATTGGACTGACAGTGAAAATATTTGGTGGTGTGTTAAGTACTTCGGGAACAGGCAGCCCCCTGCAGTTTAGTTTCCGCCTCAGTCAGAACAGACCTACTAACAGCATGTGTGGTGTGCTCTGAGAACAAGATGCTGTCTGGGAGAATGAGACACAGGAGAGCTGATGCAATGCCACAGTCATAGCAGACTGCAGAGGGTAAAAGGAAGAGCCACTATTAGCAGTGTAAGAAGAAATGAAGATTTGAAAAAATTAGAAATAGCACCATGACATCTAAGATCCTTCCTCTTTAATCTTAAGAGTTCTGGGCCATCAAAAATTTATTTTTTGTGACTTAAAATATTAGAAGCGAAAGCTTCACATTTTCAGAAACTTTTCTTTCTGTTATACAAATAAAGTGATGCAACTACTTTCAGAATGGGACACATTCTGTCTTTAGCAGAATTATGTGCATATTTATGATAAAGCTTACATGTATAATATTAAAATGTGTTTTTAGTGAGACAATTCAGATGTGAAAAATTTAAAAACCTGACAACGAACAAAATTGCTCTAAAAATGCACCTCTTTTTATGTATTTATTTTCTGTTCTGTTAGATGTTAATGTTTTAATTGTGATTATTGTCCATTGGACTGAGCCTATTTTAGCTTTTTTTTTCTTTTAAAACTGTCATAGTTTTTATTCTAATAATTTCAGGACTTTTGTAGCCAAGTAGAACAAGGCTTTTTCTCCCCCAAACATTTGATAACTGTACTCATAATACCAATCATTGTTTTTTTGTTTGTTTGTTTGTTTGTGTTTTGTTTTTTTTTGAGTGATGACTTTGGGGGCACAAACTCCACAAGTGTTTGTGCACTTGTGGAGGAAACAGGAAAGAAATGTGGGGGTGTCAGACAATGTAGTTTCACATACCTTATATTCCCAGAAGAAGCATTTATTTGTTTTTCTTCAGACATGACTTTGAGTCAAAATGTGTCATAATTGTGTGTGTATCTTGTGGAATGTCACATCTGGAGGAGTGACATTCCACCATATTGCCTACCATATTTGTATTAAACATGAAAGTTTAGAATTACAATCTCGATTTTAAATACGTGTAAGTATTTATACATTTCGTAGTACTGTGCTTAAATATAGAAAACTAAGTGTGAGGTTTCATGGAAAACAAATTGGAGAGAGGCTGTAAAACTGATGTTATCCCAATCGTAATTTGATGTTCCACATTGTTCGAAGTGTAAATATGAACTGAAACTGCTATTAATCAGAAAAATATTGATGTATTTTGAACCAGTTTAATTTTGCAATGCACAGTTGCTCTCCATTGTTCTATGTTACATCATTTTTACCTGGGCTGAAGAAACATGTAATGATTTCTCTGGTCATTAAAGGTCTCTGTTACTTATTGTAGCCATACATATTTGTCTTATTTCGTACACAATGAATGATTCTTTGTTTTCTTGGTTTTCTTCAACTCAGTGGAAAAGCCTTTGTCTCTGTTCCTGTTTTTCTCATCTCTTCCAGAAGGTGGCAGTATAATTCTGCATTCATGTGTATTAGGTGGTTTTCATCACATAAGAAACACTTGCACTTTGTGAGTATTGTTGATTAAAGTTTCAATATTATGTAAAATTACTGCCCAGATGTTACACTTCTTTTGCCAGAGTTGAAAATTAAATGTTTTGTTTTATTCTGTACAGTCTGTTGCACACATTTCAGAGGATAAAGTAGCCTACCAGGGTAGGCGTTTTGCACGGGTTGAAATGTAACGCAGATACTTTTATTTCATTAGAATAAATAGAGAATATATAAAATGTTTTTCTCACAGTAATGTTAAATGATTTTGCAGCTGTTTAAGAATTAATAAAAAAAAAAATCTGTAGCACGTAAAATGTGAAGTAGTGTGGTAAATTATAAGCTTATGCACAAATCACGTGTCTATGTTGTTTGAAAGACCAAAGAAATGGTTAATAATTTTATTTTGCTGGTTCTTTGCTCTGTCTTTCAGTTTGCCATAAAAGACTTAAGTTCCAGAAAGCAAAGTTTGTGGAGCAAAGAAAACGTTTTTGAAAGGTTCAGCAATCAAACGTATCGTTGACATGCAAGAGAGTAAGAACCTGGTATACTGTACCTTGAACCTTTTACCTCGTTTGTCGCATTACAGCCACAAATTTTATTGTATTTTATTGAGTTTTACTTGACAGGCCAACACAAAGTTGATTATAATTGTGATGTGAAAGAAAAATGACACATGGCTGTCAATACTGT